ACGATTTTATATATTTTTTAATAAGTTGTGCAGCCGTTTTAATGAGCCGATTTCTTTCGGATTCAGGGTCTTCATTCTTTGCATGACAGTAGAAATCATGTAAAATTGCTGATGCTTAGAAGGCTGGCTTGCACCTGTTGCACCCACTCATCTTCGTGGATCTTGAGTTTTGTTGTTGCAATGTTTCAATTCAGGGACGCGCAAATCTAAATTTATCACAAGCATAAACAAGACGCGTTTAGTACAAACAAGGCCTTCAAATCTTGGTAAAAGTGGTCAGTGTTTGCATTCAGAAAGTCTGAAAGTGTTCAAGCAAAAGAATTGCGACATAATCTTGTGCTACTTAAGGTTCGTCTGGTTGCCATATAAGGAAATCACGTGATGATAAAAGTCACATTGACTTTACAAACTGAGCAATTTATTATGATTGAAAGTCATTCAAAGACTTGCATATGACTTGTTTTAACTATATTAAAATATGATTACTCTAAACAGAGTAATTAATAGCAAAGTGTTTATATAAGTCTTACCATAACAATCTTCCTTGTGTAACAGGATTCAGCTATATTTTGGGAATTTCAGGGTGTTAAAAAAAACCTGGAAATTACAAACGAGTATTAAAAGTTCAAACTGTTTCCTAGATGCTGGTGCTTAGAAATAAAGGAAAGATATTTTGTTATACCGACCCACTATTAACAAGTGGCTAAATTGTGACAATAAATGTGTGGACAAATATTTGAGATTAATTTTGGTGTAGACAACTCTCGTTTAATTATTTTACACCATTACAAGTTGTTAAATTGAGAGAATAAATGTCTCAACAAATATTTAATACTTAGTTTGGTGTAAACAACTCACGTTTGATTAATTCCCACAATTACAGGTTGTTAAATTGAAAGAATAAATGTGCGGACAAATATTTTAGACCTATTTTGGTGTAGACAGCTCTCGTTTATTATTTTACACCATTACAAGTTGTTAAATTGAGACTAAATGTGTGGACACATATTTTAGACTTATTTTGGTGTAGAAAAGTTGCATTCAATTTACTTCCACAAATTACAAATTGTTAAATTGAGAGAATAAATGTGTGGACAAATATTTGAGACTTATTTTGGTGTAGACAACTCTCATTTAATAGTTTTACACCATTACAAGTTGTTAAATTGAGAGAATAAATGTATGGACAAGTATTTGAAACTTATTTTGGTGTAGACAACTCTCATTTGATTAATTCCAACAATTACAAGTTTTTAAATTGACAGAATGAATGTATGGACAAATATTGACCATTATATTTGTGAGTAAATACCTGTTGTTTAATTAATTTCCACCTCTACAAGGTTGTTAAATTGAGAGAATAAATGTGTCGACAAATATTTGATACTTATTTAGGTGTAAGAACTCGTGTTTGACCAACTTCCACCATTGCAAGTTGTTAAAATAATGAAATAAATATCCTGG